GCCTGGCTAATTTATTTTTATTTTTTTAGAGAGGGGGCATCTCACTACGTTGCCTAGGCTGATCTCGACCTCCTGGACTCATGATCCTCCCGCCTCGGCCTCCCCAAAGTGCTGAGATTGCAGGTGTGAGCCGCCACACCCGGCCGTGGTAACTAATTTTTCAGACTTTGGCAGGAGAATGATAATGACATTGTGTTGTAAAACTGAAATTTTAACTACAAATGAAAACCCCAAGTGTTTGGAGATGTAATTTTTATTTTTCAGATAAAACTCATCAGTGCTTTGAAACAAGCAGCTCTGAACCAAAGGAATCATTTGATTCAAGTAACCATTGGATCTTCCCAAGGCAATGGTGAAAGAAAAGAAAAAAGCAGACAAAAGAGGGGACAAGTCGGCCCGCTCTCCCTCATCTCTCTCTGATAATCTAGACTTTTCCAAACAAGATGGCAACACCACTAGGCAAGAGATGTCCCCAGCTGGCGTCCCGTTGCTGGGAATGCAGCTTAACGAAGTGAAACCCAAAAAAGACCCCCGAAACGTTCAGCAGAATGAAGATGCCACCCAATACGAAGAGTCCATTCTGACCAAACTCATCGTGGAAAGGTGATTTTAATGGGGGTGCCATAAGGTATCACACTGCCAGTCAGGCGGTGTATTTTATTTTATTTTGAGACGGAGTTTCACTCTGTCGTTCAGGCTGGAGTGCAGTGGTGCGATCTTGGCTCACTGCAACCTCCGCCTCCCATGTTCAAGCAATTCTCCTGCCTCAGCCTCCTGAGTAGCTGAGATTACAGACGCCCAGCACCATACCCAGCTAATTTTTGTACTCTTAGTAGAGACGGGGTTTTACCATGTTGGCCAGGCTGGTCTCGAACTCCTGACCTCAGGTAAGCCACCTGCTTCAGCCTCCCAAAGTGCTGGGATTACAGACATCATCTGTGCCTGGCCTGAAGGTAATTTTATGTATTTAAAAAATTATTGGGCTGGGCGTGGTGGCTCAAGCCTGTAATCCCAGCACTTTGGGAGGCCGAGACAGGCGGATCACGAGATCAAGAAATCAAGACCATCCTGGCTAACACGGTGAAACCCCGTCTCTACTAAAAAATACAAAAAACTAGCCGGGTGTGTTGGCGGGCGCCTGTAGTCCCAGCTACTTGGGAGGCTGAGGCAGGAGAATGGTGTAAACCCAGGAGGCGGAGCTTGCAGTGAGCTGAGATCC